AAGAAAAAATTCATTAATTGTAGGAAATTACAAACATAAAGTCATATCAACCACATCAGTACCCAAAGATACTTTCAATCTCCTCTAGTTCTATGAAGTATTCTCAACTCAAACAAATACATACCCATATGCACACATGCATCATACCTATGTGGACCCTCTTAGTCTCTTTTAGTACATTCACAAAGATTCAGACATATTCACCCATAAATATAAATCTTTAGTAGTCTTATAAGGTGTCTATTTCATAAAACCCTAAAACTTTATTACATATTTTTCTCATATATAACCTTATAAAGACTTTACATATTGATAACCATACTAACTTACTTAACAAGAATCCATTTTTCTTTAAAATTCTTCTTCTGCAAGTTTTTTTATCCATAAAGTAATATCTAACTAATCTCAAACAAATCTTTTATAAGATTTGAGTCACTATTTCCAATAAAAACATTTTTACCCCATTTGCAGGTCACCTTGCCACCATTGAACATGAAGATAAAAACCACTTCAATTTGTTCATTAACTGCAACAATTCTGGAGCCTTATTTGTCCATGGTGTAGCTGAGAAAGTAACCATTTCTGATCTCATTGAACCCGTCAATATATGTTCCTGAAACTTTCGACTTCTTTTTTCAATTGGATGGGGTTAAGAATATTGAGGGTACTTTGAAGCCATTGCCTGCAGTGCAAATAACTGAGCTTGTAGATGGTATCTTCATTGCTTGCAGCATCAACCATTCTGTTGTTAATGGTGCTTCATTTTGGCATTTTTTTTTAATTCTTGGTCAAAAATTTCTCGCGGTTCTGGTCATTTATCTAAACCTCCGATGTTTCGACGCCCATTTCTGGATGGTATAGATTACCCCATTTGATTTCCTTTAAAATTAAAAGAAGTAAATCCAAGATCAGTTCATACCATCAAGAAGCGGGGAAGAAAATCAAGAGTTCATACTTACATACATGCATGTGAAAATGCCAAGGTACTATGCTATGCTAAAGCATGTAAAATATATAATTAAATAGGTGCAAAACTAGAGGATACAAGCTCTCAATATCGCAATATCATTAACTGAAGGAATAAAGCCGGTAAAAATCCAAATGGGTTAATGTGTAAATTGATTTTTAACTATATCATTAAAAAAAAATTCATTATTTAGTACTTTAGCTTTGCTTTTATCAAACAATTTACACCATTCTAAAAGTATTTAGTAAAATAATGATAGGGCAGATATTGAGTACAAAAATGTACATTATCATTTTGTTAATTTCTTGTTACATCAACATATTATTAAAAGAATTGATATCTTGAGTAAATAATATGACAAAATGAAAGTTAAATATCAATTCATGAAGTTGTTAAAAGTATTAAATTATAAAGAGTAATATAATTAAAAGATCAAATTACATATTAACCTAATCCAAATAACCTGAATTTTGTAATGAAGGAATTGAATTTGGAATTGAAAGAACAAAGTAATTAATAACGCGATCCTTGATTGTTAAAAGGGAAATGGCTAGGATATTTGGGTTGTAAAACATATTTCATAGTGCTTTCTTTTTTTTTAACTGTTGTTATAAGAAAGCACATATACTGATATACATTTTACATGATTAATTACATCTAAGTTCAATAATGCAGTTTGTAGACTGTAGGCCCATTTTATATGGAGATAAATATTCAATGAAACAATAATATTCCGCTAGAGAGCCTTATAGTTTATTTAGTACAGCAGAAAAGCACACCACACAGACTGGAAGCAAGATAAGAAAAGAGAGAGAAATTGAAAAAGAAAAGGACGGATGGGATGTTGGGTGCCTTTTAGTCTTGTAAGTACTGAAGTTTCTTTTACTTTGATGAAAGGGTCGTTTAATTTGGTTGTTTGGGGCCTTGATTTGGGCATTTGAACCTCCAAGTTTCCAAACAACTATTCTGCTTCTTGGGTTAATACTGATCAGTTTATTCCATATGCTTGGTTGATTTTATTGTCTTGTTTCCAAAATTAAGTCTGTTAGAGTCAAAATAGATGCAGTTTGATATAAAAATTGAAATTTGTTCTTGAAATAGTATCAACTTTCAAATTCATCTGCTATCAAAGGTAGAATTTTTTTTCCTGGATGTTGATTTTCCTTCCACAGGATTGTTAGAGTACTCCAGAATTATAGTTCGTCAGAATGGAAATAACACCGATGGTTTGGTTTGGACTTAGCAGGTTACTAATCGGAAAATCTAGACAAGGTGGGCAACAGTTCATGTGGCATCAGCTTTTGAGTTTTGAGTGAAGATTTTGTCTTGGAGTTAACATGGCCGATGTAAGATTCATATCCAGCAGTATAGTTCAAGCAGAAGATCACAGGGCATCAGGTAAGAGGATTGAGTTAACACCCTGGGATCTTCGTCTCCTTGCAATAGGGCATATTCAAAAGGGACTTCTTTTCCCCAAGCCTAAACCTTATCTGCAAGAGAAGGAAACTGAGAACACTCTGATCCACCACTTAAAAACCTCTCTCTCCCGCACTCTAGACTACTTTCCGCTCCTGGCAGGTCGCCTAGAAACAGCAGAACATGAAGATGACGCCATTTCCCTTTTTGTTGACTGCAACAATGCTGGAGCTTTATTTATCCATGCTGCAGCTGATGGAGTAACCATTTCTGACATCATTAAACCTGTTTGTGTTCCTCCCATTATTCACTCGTTTTTCCCACTGAATGGCCTCAACAACTATAAGGGTATTACTAACCCATTACTTGGAATACAAATAACAGATCTTGCGGATGGTATATTTGTTGGTTGCACCATCAATCATGCTGTTGCCGATGGTACATCATTCTGGCATTTCTTTAATTCATGGTCAGAAATATCTAAGGGTTCAATTCACTTATCCAAGCCACCGGTTTTTCAATGTCGGTTACCTGATGGTACTGATCTCCCCATTCGTATTCCTCAATCTTGTCTCGAACAAATCAATGAAGACTTCATTCTACCACCTCTACGAGAAAGGGTTTTCCATTTTACAAAGGAAAACATTGCAAAACTCAAAGCAAAAGCTAATGCTGAGATTGGCACCAATAACATCTCATCTCTTCAAGCTCTGATGTCTCATATTTGGAGATCTGTTATCCGCAACAAAATTTTGGACCCTAATGAGGAGACCAATTTCCGCATTGTAGTTGGCGCTAGACGAAGATTGCAGGAGCTGTCTGAAAATTACTTTGGGAATGCTATGCTGGGTCGGATTGTAAAAATGAAAGCAAAGGAGCTACTGGAACAAGGAATTGGTAACGTGGCGTGGCAAATGAACAGCGTAATTGCTAAAGTGACCGAAGAAACTTTCAAAAAATTCCTTCAGTCTTGGCCAGCAAGCCCCAAGTTGGTAACTATGAGTAATATGACAAGCAACACCCTGGTTATAAGTAGTTCTCCTCGGTTCAATATGTATGGTAATGATTTTGGATGGGGAAAGCCAATTGCAGTACGAAGCGGATCAGCAAATAAGTTTGATGGGAAGATCACATTGTTTTGTGGAGCAAAAGAAGGAAGTATTGACATTGAAGCATGCCTTTCTCCAGAGATATTGGAGGCTATGGCAAATGATCAAGAATTTATTGATATCGTCACCGTTTAACTATCTCAGTCCAAACTCTAAAGCTGAAAGTTGCTTTCATCATGATAGTATCAACTGAATTGATGTTATTGTTAATGTCGGTTTGTTCTTGGATTAATGTATTTTGAAGCAGATTGTAAGTGAAATTTAGCCTGCCATGTTTACAATTTGTGTTGTTTTGAAAATAGAAAAAATTAAAAATCATGGAAGTAATCACAATAATGAATGTTTTATGTGATTCCAATGAAGTTGAATCGGACATAAATATATGCTTCTTATGATCCGAAATTTTTTATACTTCATTTAAATGATTGGTGAAAACAATTTTTATTATATTATTATATTATTTTGGTACTGAACATTAACAACTATATCAGTCCAATTATTCATAAATCTTATTCATCAATCACATTTACAGTATTGAATGCATCCAATACATATGAATCAAAATATTAAATTTGCATGTGTCATTGGTAACACTTGGAATATTGTTATGCACATTGTTCTAATTGCTTCTTTAACACAAGAAAATACTACTCCTTAAGTCTATTTTTAGTACATTTTTCATATTTGAAAATTTCTAAATTTACATTATCTTTCTATTTTTAACAATTGATACTTGTAAAATATTTTATATTTACAATGTTTTCTCATATTTGTTCTCTTTCACATGAAAAATCATACCTGAGTAATTAATATAATAAAAGAGATAATGTCATAATTAATTTTAAATTATAATAAAATATTTAATGTAGTATTTAAATTTTAAAAAATTTAATATGTTATTTAAATATAAATCTATTAATTAATATAATATTTAAAAGATCTTTTATTTATTACATATCATCATTTTAAAATTAATTATCTTAAGATAAGTATAATATTAAATTAATAGATTTATAATTTAAATATTATATTAAAAAATTTTAAATTTAAATATCATATTAAATATTTTATTATAATTTTAAATTTATTTATGATACTAACTTAATAAATTTTAAAATTTTAAAAAACTCAACAAAAAATATCTAGAATTAATTATTTTTAAAGTTTTTTTTGCCAAATTAAATATGAATAAGAATAATGAAACGATGAATTATTATATTATTATGATGCTTAATAATAGTGGTGAAAGGCATTGATAAGTAGGCCAAGTACCCAGGAGCAGAATGGAAATTCCGCAATAATCTAAAAGGTTAAAAACTCGTGTCAACAATCCACCAAGCACGATATATTCTGAACATATAGAGTTCGGGGGAAAATTAAAATATTTTGAAGAGGCCCATCGAATCTCTTCTTAATTAAAATAAAGCCTAAAAACCTTGCAATCTGTGCTTTTTTTTTTTAAATGGAAATAGCATCAAACAAAAGCACGTGGAGCAAGCAAGCCGAGGTAGCGTAACTGGTGTCAGGAAGGGACAGTACGCTAGTAAATGGCGCTTCAGCGTCGACAGGTCATTGTCATTGCTTGGAGCCCACAGTTCGTAACGCATGACGGAAGAATCATTATGTTTTGTTTATCTTCAGCCACGGGTGTGGCATTATGTTTGCCACCTGTCGACTACATGTTTTTCGTGTTGAGCGCTAATAAATGAAATGGTTTTGTTTGTTTGGTTAATCTCCTATATATGTAGGGTATGGCTTGTAAACTAGAAATCAGTACGGTAGAACTCAAAGAATTGACCGAGTTTAGGGAGTCGAGTGAACAGTTTTACTTGGAGAATATATGGAAGGTGTCCGATGTATCTCGAGTGCTATGGTTCAGGCAGCAACTCAGAAGGTAGAGAATCAGAGGGTTGAGTTAACACCATGGGATTTGCATCTTCTTCTAGTCGGACCTATCCAAAAGGGACTTCTTTTTCCCAAGCCAAAACCTTCAGGAGAGAATGAAATTGATCAAAGCAACTTCATCCACCACTTGAAAACTTCCCTCTCCAACACTTTAGACTATTTTCCACCCCTGGCGGGTCGACTAGCGACCACTGAACATGACGATGACACAATTTCCTTTTTTATTGATTGTAATAATGCTGGAGCCTTGTTTATCCATGCTGAAGCTGATGGAGTAACCATTTCTGAATTTGTTAAACCTGTTTATGTTCCTTCTATTGTTCATTCATTTTTCCCACTTAATGGATTGAAGAACTACGAGGGCATTTTCAAGCCATTACTTGGAGTGCAGGTGACAGAGCTTGTTGATGGTATTTTTGTTGGTTGTACCATAAATCATTCTGTGGCTGATGGTACATCGTTTTGGCATTTCTTTAATTCATGGTCAGAAATTTCAAGAGGTTCGATTCACATATCAAAATCCCCTGTTTTCGAATCTTCATTTATTGATGGCATCAATTTTCCGATTCGGGTTCCTCAATCTTTCGTCAAGCAATTCCATGAAGAATTAATATTACCTCCCTTGAAAGAAAGGGTTTTCCATTTCTCAAAGCAAAGCATTGCAAAACTCAAAGCAAAAGCTAATGCTGAAGTTGGCACCAACAGCATCTCATCTCTTCAAGCACTTCTATCTTATCTTTGGCGATCTGTTATCCTCAACAGAAAATTAGACCCCGATGAAGAGATGAGTTACTATATATTGATCGGTGCGAGGGCAAGAATGCACAAGCTGCCGGAAGAATATTTTGGAAATGCAGTAAAGGTTGAAAGCATAACTATGAAAGCAAAGGAACTGCAGGAGCAAAGAGTTGGTGACATCGCAAAGGAAATGAACAGGGTGATTGCTACACAAACTGAAGAAAAGTTCATAAAGGACTTGGAGTCTTGGATCGCAAGTCCTAAGCTGTTAACAATGGACACTGTTATGAGAAATGTTATGGTCACAAGTAGTTCACCTCGGTTCAACATGTATGGTAACGATTTTGGATGGGGAAGACCAATTGCAGTAAGAAGTGGGTCAGCGAACAAATTTGATGGAAAGATAACCGTGTTTTGTGGAGCAAAAGAAGGAAGTATTGATATTGAAGCATGCCTATTGCCTGAGACATTGGAAGCCATGGCAAATGATCACGAATTCATGGATACAGTCATCCAACCCCAATAACTTTCTTCACCAGTCACCATGATAATAGATCAGTACGAGTTTTTTCTCGCACCGAGGTGGATGGAAATCTTTATTATCAAATGAGAGTTCTTTTAATATTTTTTCTTAAATTTGGTTTTTAAGCCACGTCACTGTTTTATCGTTGCTTCCAATGGAAAAACTACCACGTCAGCTGAATTTTGCTTTGTTTTTTATTCTAGTAATAAATTACATTTGCTACGAATGAATCTTGCGCAAAGCCTCTCCAGGGATACCTTTGCCTTTCCCACTGACCCATTATTTCAAATGATTCTGTGTCAGCCAGAGGGTCTGTCTGATATATTCTAGTCGGTCCATCCTCAGATGCACGCAGGGACAACCATGGCGACCCTTATTGCAAGCTCTCTCATCTCCAGTGCGGAAATAAAAAACACGAACCCTTTGTATCTTCTCCTCCGGTAATGAATTTATTTCCATACTTCAATTCTAATGAGTATGATCAATGAATATTTAATTTTGAAAAAATCAAATAATATTATACATTATCTTAATTTTTTTCACAAAATAAATGTATATAAAAATAAAATACATCAAATAAATAATTTTATTTAAAATTGTGATTAATTTTTTTGAGAATATATATAAATAAATCAATTGTTTAAAAATATATTTTTATTAAAAACAAGAAAAATAAAATACATCATTAAATAAATAAAGTTGAAAGTTTGAGATTATTAGTAAAGATACTTTTCTAAATTTTTATAAAGTGGTTTCAATCTTAATTTTTTATAAAATAATTTGCATGACAATAAAGAAAGAGATTTTAATTATATTTGATACATAAAATTATGGTAGGATAAGATTAGATTAAATAATATCATTTTATTTTATGTTTGATGTGTATAAGTATTAATATAAGATAATTTATTTATTGGTCAAAATTATTTTTTTTAAAATTTATATAATTTAAATTTTTGACATAATTTTTAAGAGTATAATAAGACATGTAAGTTTAATTTCATAGATTAAAAATAAATTTCTTAACTTTAAAAAAATTAAATCATCTTATACTAAGAATATTATAATCTTTTTTATAGTCATATCCCTTTCAATTAAATATAAATAAAATATAATATAAAATAATTATCATATTATTATATCTATCATTTTATGTATCAAATATAACTTTAAAATGTAATTCAAAGTAAAAAATTATATGAAAACGAGAAATTGGAATTCCCCAATGGAAAAGTAAAACATGGTTCATACGTAGTTGGAGATTTGGAATTTTGTTTAATTAATCAATTATAATATAATAAATTAATTTTAATTTTTTTATAATGATGAAATTAAAATAATAACCATAATACTATATTAAATAAAAATTTAAATTTAAATTCAATAAATATATGTATATATATATATATATATTGCTTTCAACTTGTTATACAACAAATTGAAAGCAATATATATACTGTGGTGTTTTTAAAACTTTATTCTTGGGGGGGGGGGGGCTTCTAACTCTTATTACCGTCAGTCCTTGAATTGCGGTACCTGCTGCATATGGGAAAACCGACGCCGGCAGTGTGCATACGAGTTTCAAAGTCTTTGATGCAAATAAGTGAGCTCTTCCAAGCTAATGCACATGAAAAGAACAAAGAAAAAAATCAACTGCTTATGCTCAAAAAGTCTCCATATGGCACAATGTTTCTTGTTCAAATTTTGGATGAAAAAGACTTTAGTCCAAGTTGAACCGAAAATGCTGCCAATTGGTGTTCGGTCAATTTGAACAGCTCAAAATGCAAGTTACTTAATGATTAAGCTCAATCCATCCAACTAACATTTTTTTAAAATAAAAATATGATATTTTTATTTTTATTTTTATTTTTCGTTCATTATGGTTTTTCATTAATCTTTAATATTTGTTCTTTTTCTTTATTAAAACTTAAATAATATATATATATATAATTTAACATATTTTTTAATGTTTATACTATAATATTATATATTTATCATTTATATATAATGTAAACTATATAATTTGGAGAGAACCATAAATGTCGAGCCAAAAGTTTGGTCATTTTTCAAACGAGCTTTACTTTTTGAACCAAATCTGTTTAAAAACCTTTTTTCTTTTTTTTTTAACTCTCTTAAATATTGAGCATGCCTTTGAAACTGGATGAGTGGACCGACCCTATCACATTTTTATTTCTAATTTATTCTTTTTGTTGTTTTCTTTTTTTCTTATCCTGATACTTTATATGCCACATAAACAGGTTGTTAACGGTGATAAGAACAAGGAAGGTTAAAATTGTACATTAATTAGTATAATATAGTAGAATACATACACCATTAAAAAAGTTCTAATTCATAGGTGCACAGCTGAATACCCTTTTAATCCGTTTGAATTTTTAAAAAACTTTTATTTTTAATTTTTACTTTTTGCTAGTGATTTAAAAGTTTTCAATGTTATATTAAGAATTTGTTTGGTCATGGAATGACTTATTTATTGTAAAAGCAAAAATTAGGTGTTTGGTTTTTTAGAATTTTAAAAATTTTAACTTGGATGGGAAATAGAGTTGAGCGTTTAGAGGAAGTTATAAATAAAAACTTTTTATAAAAGTGTTAATAAAAATTTTTACATTCTCACTCTACTCTTTAATAATTTATAGAACTATACAAAAATTATATTATTTTACATTATTTTTTATTAAATTCATTTTTTTATTATAATTAATAAAAATATTTTTTATTTTATTTATTCTTTTCACTTAAAAACTTGTGATTTAATTTAATAAAATTGATTATTTTTGTTATTTATTTATTAAAAATATAAAAAAAATACTATATCAAATAGTTTTATCAACATTTTATAGGCTTTCTGCGTTAAGTTTGTCAAACACTATTTTAACTTTTATTTATAAAACTTTAAAACAGCTCTACTCTAACAACATGTTTTATAAAACCTTCGGCTGGACCAAACGGACTTCAAGTATTTTTGTCTACAAACACCCCTTAACATGCATACATATTTTATATAAATACACAAAAGCTAAAGTTTTTGGTAGAAAAGAAAAAAATTTAACATAAATGGTATATTCTTTTGACACGTACAATCTTAAACAAATATTTTGTGTCTTATATTTAATTATTTTGACTTGATTTTATTTAAATTTTAAAATATTTTATACAATAAATTATATGTCTAAACTAATTTTATAATATATTGCGATGAGATAATATTTATGAAATGTAAAAAATATTACATTTCTTTTAATTATGATGACAGTTGTATATTATGATTATTGTTGAACTCTATATATATACCAATAATATATGATGAAAACTACTTATTTGTAAAGATTTTTGCATATTATCTAAATGATATCATATTTGTGAAAGGTGAAATTTATTGTGTGCTTTCGTTTGTGATTTTATTTGTATATTATAATTGTTGATAAAATATGTAATGAAGTAATTTAGAGCAAAGACATTGTAGAAAATCTTGTATTAAACTAGATAATTTGGTGTATATTGAAATGCAATGAATTTGTAAAATGTGAAAATTATGCTTAAAGTTGTGAATTGTTTGAAATTGTGATCTTTTAATGAACTATATAGGTTCTATAATAATGATTATTATTTTAAACTTTTTGTAAAAAAAATTATGATACCGCATTATCTCAGAAATACAGTTAATACTATTTCAACCATCTAATTTCGACCCACAAACATAGACTGAAACTATTGGAGGGGTTGAAACTACGGTCACTAATGTGTATGACTTTGAATCAGCAAATAGATCTAGGGACCTCTTTTCACTGAACTTAATCCATTGCAACAATAGGATCGTCTAACTTTGTTTGTAGTCTGTCATTTGTGTATTCTAAGGCTCATTAACCTCAGATAGAATAAGGAATTAATGAGTTGAAGACTAAGTTAAGAATTGGGTTTAGGTCATTCATAGATTAGATGATGCAGTTGATGGGGTCTAAACAAACTACACCATCACAATATTCTAAACTTAATGATGACATTGAAAATTTTAGATCATAAGGTGCAGCAACAACATAATGACATTTTTTTTTTTTTGGATTTGTATGAAATATTTAATGGATTGATGTTATGGATGTTTGATGGATGTTTTATGATGTATTTGATGAATGTTATATGGATTTGATATTCTAATTAATAATAACATATTTAAATAATTACACATGTTTAAATTGTAATTTACAGGGTTCGAATATAATTACATGTTTTTTTGAATAATTATAAATGTTTTTATAATGACAGCTTTGATACTACTTGTTAAGAATTACAACAGCTCTAATATCATTTGTTGGGCAAAAAAGCCTTCAATCAATTAAGTCAGTGGAATCAAAATCAAACAATTAACACACAAGAGATAATAATTTAACGTGATTTAGCCCAATCGACCTATGTTCATAAATGAGAAAAAAAGATTTATTAGTTGTAGAAAATTATAAAAATACAATCATATTAGCCATATCAATACCCATCAATCTCATTTAGTTCTATAGAGTGTTCTCAATCTAAATAAATATATATCCATGTGCACCTATACACCATACTTATGTGGACCTTCTCAATCTCTTCTAGTCCACTCATAAACGTTCAAACATATATACCCACAAAATGTAAATCTTTAATAGTCCTATAAGGTGTCTGTATCATAAAATCCTACAATTTTTTTACATCTTTTTCTCATACCTAACCTTATAAAAACTTCACATATTTATAGTCATACTAACTTGGCTATTAAAACTCTATTTTTCTTAAAATTATTTTTCTACAAGTCTTCTTATCCATCAAGTAATATTTAGCTAATCTCAAATAAAATCTCTTATAGGATTTAAGTTACTATTTTCAACAATCTTCACATTTACTCAAATTCTATTAATCATCTGTCTTTACGCTAGACATGCTTGGCTCCACTTGTAATGAAAATTTTATAATCATCTTCTCTTATGTGTTTTCATGCTTTATGCAAATCAATTTTCAAAACACTAACTCGAACTCTTCCTTTGAATCGAGCTTCTCTATGCTTTCCTCTTCACATATATTGAACATTTAACTCTGATACCACTTGTTAAGATCACGATGATTCTAATATCACTCGTTAAAGATTACGATAGTTTTGATATCACTAGTTGGGCAAAAAAACCTCCAATCAATTAAGCCAATGGAAGTAAAATTAAACAATTAATCAATCATACAAGATATAATAATTTAATGTGATTCGGTCAAACCGGCCTACATTCATGAATAAGAAAAAATTCATTAATTATAGGAAATTACAAACATACAATCATATCAATCACATCAGTACCCAAAGATACTTTCAATCTCCTCTAGTTCTATAGAGTATTCTCAACTCAAACAAATACATATCCATATGCACACATGCATCATACCTATATGGACCCTCTTAATCTCTTCTAGTACATTCACAAAGATCTAGACATACACACCCATAAAATATAAATCTTTAGTAGTTCTATAGGGTGTCTATCTCATAAAACCCTATAACTCTATTACATATTTTTCTCATATATAACCTTATAAAGACTTTACATATTGATAACCATACTAACTTACTTAACAAGAATCCATTTTTCTTTAAAATTCTTCTTCTGCGAGTCTTTTCATCCATCAAGTAATATCTATCTAATCTCAAACAAATCTTTTATGAGATTTGAGTCACTATTCCCAATAAAAACATTTTTACCCCATTTGCAGGTCACCTTGCCACCATTGAACATGAAGATAAAAACCACTTCAATTTGTTTATTAATTGCAACAATTCTGAAGCCTTATTTGTCTATGGTGTAGCTGAGAAAGTAACCATTTCTGATCTCATTGAACTCGTCAATATATGTTCCTGAAACTTTCGACTCCTTTTTCCAATTGGATGGGGTTAAGAATATTGAGGGTACTTTGAAGCCATTGCCTGCAGTGCAAATAACTGAGCTTGTAGATGGTATCTTCATTGCTTGCAGCATCAACCATTCTGTTGTTAATGGTGCTTCATTTTGGCATTTTTTTAATTCTTGGTGAGAAATTTCTCGTGGTTCTGGTCATTTATCTAAACCTCTGATATTTCGACGACCACTTCTGGATGGTATAGATTACCCCGTTTGATTTCCTTTAAAATTAAAAAAAGCAAATCCAAGATCAGTTCATACCATCAAGAAGCGGGGAAGAAAATCAAGAGTTCATACTTACATACATGCATGTGAAAATGCCAAGGTACTATGCTATGCTAAAGCATGTAAAATATATAATTAAATAGGTGCAAAACTAGAGGATACAAGCTCTCAATATCACAATGTCATTAACTGAAGGAATAAAGCCGGTAAAAATCCAAATGGGTTAATGTGTAAATTGATTTTTAACTATATCATTAAAAAAAAAATTCATTATTTAGTACTTTAGCTTTGCTTTTATCAAACAATTTACACCATTCTAAAAGTATTTAGTAAAATTATGATAGGGCGGATATTGAGTACAAAAATGTACATTATCATTTTGTTAATTTCTTGTTACATCAACATATTATTAAAAGAATTGATATCTTGAGTAAATAATATGACAAAATGAAAGTTAAATATCAATTCATGAAGTTGTTAAAAGTATTAAATTATAAAGAGTAATATAATTAAAAGATCAAATTACATATTAACCTAATCCAAATAACCTGAATTTTGTAATGAAGGAATTGAATTTGGAATTGAAAGAACAAAGTAATTAATAACGCGATCCTTGATTGTTAAAAGGGAAATGGCTAGGATATTTGGGTTGTAAAACATATTTCATAGTGCTTTCTTTTTTTTTTAATTGTTGTTATAAGAAAGCACATATACTGATATACATTTTACATGATTAATTACATCTAAGTTCAATAATGCAGTTTGTAGACTGTAGGCCCATTTTATATGGAGATAAATATTCAATGAAACAATAATATTCCGCTAGAGAGCCTTATAGTTTATTTAGTACAGCAGAAAAGCACACCACACAGACTGGAAGCAAGATAAGAAAAGAGAGAGAAATTGAAAAAGAAAAGGACGGATGGGATGTTGGGTGCCTTTTAGTCTTGTAAGTACTGAAGTTTCTTTTACTTTGATGAAAGGGTCGTTTAATTTGGTTGTTTGGGGCCTTGATTTGGGCATTTGAACCTCCAAGTTTCCAAACAACTATTCTGCTTCTTGGGTTAATACTGATCAGTTTATTCCATATGCTTGGTTGATTTTATTGTCTTGTTTCCAAAATTAAGTCTGTTAGAGTCAAAATAGATGCAGTTTGATGTAAAAATTGAAATTTGTTCTTGAAATAGTATCAACTTTCAAATTCATCTGCTATCAAAGGTAGAATTTTTTTTTTCCTGGATGTTGATTTTCCTTCCACAGGATTGTTAGAGTACTCCAGAATTATAGTTCGTCAGAATGGAAATAACACCGATGGTTTGGTTTGGACTTAGCAGGTTACTAATCGGAAAATCTAGACAAGGTGGGCAACAGTTCATGTGGCATCAGCTTTTGAGTTTTGAGTGAAGATTTTGTCTTGGAGTTAACATGGCCGATGTAAGATTCATATCCAGCAGTATAGTTCAAGCAGAAGATCACAGGGCATCAGGTAAGAGGATTGAGTTAACACCCTGGGATCTTCGTCTCCTTGCAATAGGGCATATTCAAAAGGGACTTCTTTTCCCCAAGCCTAAACCTTATCTGCAAGAGAAGGAAACTGAGAACACTCTGATCCACCACTTAAAAACCTCTCTCTCCCGCACTCTAGACTACTTTCCGCTCCTGGCAGGTCGCCTAGAAACAGCAGAACATGAAGATGACGCCATTTCCCTTTTTGTTGACTGCAACAATGCTGGAGCTTTATTTATCCATGCTGCAGCTGATGGAGTAACCATTTCTGACATCATTAAACCTGTTTGTGTTCCTCCCATTATTCACTCGTTTTTCCCACTGAATGGCCTCAACAACTATAAGGGTATTACTAACCCATTACTTGGAATACAAATAACAGATCTTGCGGATGGTATATTTGTTGGTTGCACCATCAATCATGCTGTTGCCGATGGTACATCATTCTGGCATTTCTTTAATTCATGGTCAGAAATATCTAAGGGTTCAATTCACTTATCCAAGCCACCGGTTTTTCAATGTCGGTTACCTGATGGTACTGATCTCCCCATTCGTATTCCTCAATCTTGTCTCGAACAAAATCATGAAGACTCATTCTACCACCTCTACGAGAAAGGGTTTTCCATTTTACAAAGGAAAACATTGCAAAACTCAAAGCAAAAGCTAATGCTGAGATTGGCACCAATAACATCTCATCTCTTCAAGCTCTGATGTCTCATATTTGGAGATCTGTTATCCGCAACAAAATTTTGGACCCTAATGAGGAGACCAATTTCCGCATTGTAGTTGGCGCTAGACGAAGATTGCAGGAGCTGTCTGAAAATTACATTGGGAATGCTATGCTGAGTCGGATTGTAAAAATGAAAGCAAAGGAGCTACTGGAACAAGGAATTGGTAACGTGGCGTGGCAAATGAACAGCGTAATTGCTAAAGTGACCGAAGAAACTTTCAAAAAATTCCTTCAGTCTTGGCCAGCAAGCCCCAAGTTGGTAACTATGAGTAATATGACAAGCAACACCCTGGTTATAAGTAGTTCTCCTCGGTTCAATATGTATGGTAATGATTTTGGATGGGGAAAGCCAATTGCAGTACGAAGCGGATCAGCAAATAAGTTTGATGGGAAGATCACATTGTTTTGTGGAGCAAAAGAAGGAAGTATTGACATTGAAGCATGCCTTTCTCCAGAGATATTGGAGGCTATGGCAAATGATCAAGAATTTATTGATATCGTCACCGTTTAACTATCTCAGTCCAAACTCTAAAGCTGAAAGTTGCTTTCATCATGATAGTATCAACTGAATTGATGTTATTGTTAATGTCGGTTTGTTCTTGGATTAATGTATTTTGAAGCAGATTGTAAGTGAAATTTAGCCTGCCATGTTTACAATTTGTGTTGTTTTGAAAATAGAAAAAATTAAAAATCATGGAAGTAATCACAATAATGAATGTTTTATGTGATTCCAATGAAGTTGAATCGGACATAAATATATGCTTCTTATGATCCGAAATTTTTTATACTTCATTTAAATGATTGGTGAAAACAATTTTTATTATATTATTATATTATTTTGGTACTGAACATTAACAACTATATCAGTCAATTATTCATAAATCTTATTCATCAATCACATTTACAGTATTGAATGCATCCAATACATATGAATCAAAATATTAAATTTGCATGTGTCATTGGTAACACTTGGAATATTGTTATGCACATTGTTCTATTTGCTTCTTTAACACAAGAAAATACTACTCCTTAAGTCTATTTTTTAGTACATTTTTCATATTTGAAAATTTCTAAATTTACATTATCTTTCTATTTTTTAACAATTGATACTTGTAAAATATTTTTATATTTACAATGTTTTCTCATATTTGTTCTCTTTCACATGAAAAATCATACCTGAGTATTAATATAATAAAAAGAGATAATGTCATAATTAATTTTTAAATTATAATAAAATATTTAATGTAGTATTTAAATTTTAAAAAAATTTAATATGTTATTTAAATTATAAATCTATTAATTAATATAATATTTAAAAGATCTTTTATTTATTACATATCATCATTTTAAAATTAATTATCTTAAGATAAGTATAATATTAAATTAATAGATTTATAATTTAAATATTATATTAAAAAAATTTTAAATTTAAATATCATATTAAATATTTTATTATAATTTTAAATTTATTTATGATACTAACTTAATAAATTTTAAAATTTTAAAAAACTCAACAAAAAAATCTAGAATTAATTATTTTTAAAGTTTTTTTTGCCAAATTAAATATGAATAAGAATAATGAAACGATTAATTATTATATTATTATGATGCTTAATAATAGTGGTGAAAGGCATTGATAAGTAGGCCAAGTACCCAGGAGCAGAATGGAAATTCCGCAATAATCTAAAAGGTTAAAAACTCGTGTCAACAATCCACCAAGCACGATATATTCTGAACATATAGAGTTCGGGGGAAAATTAAAATATTTTGAAGAGGCCCATCGAATCTCTTCTTAATTAAAATAAAGCCTAAAAACCTTGCAATCTGTGCTTTTTTTTTTTAAATGGAAATAGCATCAAACAAAAGCACGTGGAGCCAGCAAGCCGAGGTAGCGTAACTGGTGTCAGGAAGGGACAGTACGCTAGTAAATGGCGCTTCAGCGTCGACAGGTCATTGTCATTGCTTGGAGCCCACAGTTCGTAACGCATGACGGAAGAATCATTATGTTTTGTTTATCTTCAGCCACGGGTGTGGCATTATGTTTGCCACCTGTCGACTACATGTTTTTCGTGTTGAGCGCTAATAAATGAAATGGTTTTGTTTGTTTGGTTAATCTCCTATATATGTAGGGTATGGCTTGTAAACTAGAAATCAGTACGGTAGAACTCAAAGAATTGACCGAGTTTAGGGAGTCGAGTGAACAGTTTTACTTGGAGAATATATGGAAGGTGTCCGATGTATCTCGAGTGCTATGGTTCAGGCAGCAACTCAGAAGGTAGAGAATGAGAGGGTTGAGTTAACACCATGGGATTTGCATCTTCTTCTAGTCGGACCTATCCAAAAGGGACTTCTTTTTCCCAAGCCAAAACCTTCAGGAGAGAATGAAATTGATCAAAGCAACTTCATCCACCACTTGAAAACTTCCCTCTCCAACACTTTAGACTATTTTCCACCCCTGGCGGGTCGCCTAGCGACCACTGAACATGACGATGACACAATTTCCTTTTTTATTGATTGTAATAATGCTGGAGCCTTGTTTATCCATGCTGAAGCTGATGGAGTAACCATTTCTGAATTTGTTAAACCTGTTTATGTTCCTTCTATTGTTCATTCATTTTTCCCACTTAATGGATTGAAGAACTACGAGGGCATTCTCAAGCCATTACTTGGAGTGCAGGTGACAGAGCTTGTTGATGGTATTTTTGTTGGTTGTACCATAAATCATTCTGTGGCTGATGGTACATCGTTTTGGCATTTCTTTAATTCATGGTCAGAAATTTCAAGAGGTTCGATTCACATATCAAAATCCCCTGTTTTCGAATCTTCATTTATTGATGGCATCAATTTTCCGATTCGGGTTCCTCAATCTTTCGTCAAGCAATTCCATGAAGAATTAATATTACCTCCCTTGAAAGAAAGGGTTTTCCATTTCTCAAAGCAAAGCATTGCAAAACTCAAAGCAAAAGCTAATGCTGAAGTTGGCACCAACAGCATCTCATCTCTTCAAGCACTTCTATCTTATCTTTGGCGATCTGTTATCCTCAACAGAAAATTAGACCCCGATGAAGAGATGAGTTACTATATATTGATCGGTGCGAGGGCAAGAATGCACAAGCTGCCGGAAGAATATTTTGGAAATGCAGTAAAGGTTGAAAGCATAACTATGAAAGCAAAGGAACTGCAGGAGCAAAGAGTTGGTGACATCGCAAAGGAAATGAACAGGGTGATTGCTACACAAACTGAAGAAAAGTTCATAAAGGACTTGGAGTCTTGGATCGCAAGTCCTAAGCTGTTAACAATGGACACTGTTATGAGAAATGTTATGGTCACAAGTAGTTCACCTCGGTTCAACATGTATGGTAACGATTTTGGATGGGGAAGACCAATTGCAGTAAGAAGTGGGTCAGCGAACAAATTTGATGGAAAGATAACCGTGTTTTGTGGAGCAAAAGAAGGAAGTATTGATATTGAAGCATGCCTATTGCCTGAGACATTGGAAGCCATGGCAAATGATCACGAATTCATGGATACAGTCATCCAACCCCAATAACTTTCTTCACCAGTCACCATGATAATAGATCAGTACGAGTTTTTTCTCGCACCGAGGTGGATGGAAATCTTTATTATCAAATGAGAGTTCTTTTAATATTTTTTCTTAAATTTGGTTTTTAAGCCACGTCACTGTTTTATCGTTGCTTCCAATGGAAAAATTACCACGTCAGCTGAATTTTGCTTTGTTTTTTATTCTAGTAATAAATTACATTTGCTACGAATGAATCTTGCGCAAAGCCTCTCCAGGGATACCTTTGCCTTTCCCACTGACCCATTATTTCAAATGATTCTGTGTCAGCCAGAGGGTCTGTCTGATATATTCTAGTCGGTCCATCCTCAGATGCACGCAGGGACAACCATGGCGACCCTTATTGCAAGCTCTCTCATCTCCAGTGCGGAAATAAAAAACACGAACCCTTTGTATCTTCTCCTCCGGTAATGAATTTATTTCCATACTTCAATTCTAATGAGTATGATCAATGAATATTTAATTTTGAAAAAATCAAATAATATTGTACATTATCTTAATTTTTTTCACAAAATAAATGTATATAAAAATAAAATACATCAAATAAATAATTTTATTTAAAATTGTGATTAATTTTTTTGAAAATATATATAAATAAATCAATTGTTTAAAAATATATTTTTATTAAAAATAAGAAAAATAAAATACATCATTAAATAAATAAAGTTGAAGTTTTGAGATTATTAGTAAAGATACTTTTCTAAATTTTTATAAAGTGGTTTCAATCTTAATTTTTTATAAAATAATTTGCATGACAATAAAGAAAGAGATTTTAATCATATTTGATACATAAAATTATGGTAGGATAAGATTAGATTAAATAATATTATTTTATTTTATGTTTGATGTGTATAAGTATTAATATAAGATAATTTATTTATTGATCAAAATTATTTTTTTTAAAATTTATATAATTTAAATTTTTGACATAATTTTTAAGAGTATAATAAGAAATGTAAGTTTAATTTCATAGATTAAAAATAAATTTCTTAACTTTAAGAAAATTAAATCATCTTATACTAAGAATATTATAATCTTTTTTATAGTCATATCCCTTTCAATTAAATATAAATAAAATATAATATAAAATAATTATCATATTATTATATCTATCATTTTATGTATCAAATATAACTTTAAAATGTAATTCAAAGTAAAAAATTATATGAAAAAGAGAAATTGGAATTCCCCAAAGGAAAAGTAAAACATGGTTCATACGTAGTTGGAGATTTGGAATTTTGTTTAATTAATCAAATTATAATATAATAAATTAATTTTAATTTTTTTATAATGATGAAATTAAAATAATAACCATAATACTATATTAAATAAAAATTTAAATTTAAATTCAATAAATATATGTATATATATATATATATATATATTGCTTTCAACTTGTTATACAACAAATTGAAAGCAATATATATACTGTGGTGTTTTTAAAACTTTATTCTTGGGGGGGGGGGCGGGGGGGTGCTTCTAACTCTTATTACCGTCAGTCCTTGAATTGCGGTACCTGCTGCATATGGGAAAACCGACGCCGGCAGTGTACATACGAGTTTCAAAGTCTTTGATGCAAATAAGTGAGCTCTTCCAAGCTAATGCACATGAAAAGAACAAAGAAAAAAAATCAACTGCTTATGCTAAAAAAGTCTCCATATGGCACAATGTTTCTTGTTCAAATTTTGGATGAAAAAGACTTTAGTCCAAGTTGAACCGAAAATGCTGCCAATTGGTGTTCGGTCAATTTGAACAGCTCAAAATGCAAGTTACTTAATGATTAAGCTCAATCCATCCAACTAACATTTTTTTAAAATAAAAATATGATATTTTTATTTTTATTTTTTCGTTCATTATGGTTTTTCATTTAATCTTTAATATTTGTTCTCTTTCTTTTATTAAAACTTAAATATATATATATATATAATTTAACATATTTTTTAATGTTTATACTATAATATTATATATTTATCATTTATATATAATGTAAACTATATAATTTGAGAGAACCATAAATGTCGAGCCAAAAGTTTGGTCATTTTTCAAACGAGCTTTACTTTTTGAACCAAATCTGTTTAAAAACCTTTTTTCTTTTTTTTTTTTAACTCTCTTAAATATTGAGCATGCCTTTGAAACTGGATGAGTGGACGACCCTATCACATTTTTATTTCTAATTTATTCTTTTTGTTGTTTTCTTTTTTTCTTATCCCTGATACTTTATATGCCCACATAAACCAGGTTGTTAACGGTGATAAGAACAAGGAAGGTTAAAATTGTACATTAATTAGTATAATATAGTAGAATACATACACCATTAAAAAAGTTGTAATTCATAGGTGCACAGCTGAATACCCTTTTAATCCGTTTGAATTTTTAAAAAACTTTTATTTTTAATT